TCTCTGGCCTGGGACTTGGATGGTGGCCATTAGCAAAATGATCAAAGGGGTGTCAGGCTTGATGGGTTTGGGTAGATTTTTGCTGGCATCTTCAGTTGTGCATTGATCTGGTGTCTCCAAGTAAGACCCTACTCTTAAATATATTTATGCCAGAATTGAGCAGAATTGGACAGGATTGGGCTGAATTGGTCTTGTGCCTAGATTTGTGTTGGCCTTGACTTGTTTAATACAGGCTTTCATTGGGCATTGTACTTTCTGGGCTTGTCAGGACCCTGGACTGTACTGGTCCGTTTCCACTCTCATCTGAGTTCTGAGTTGGATTGGCCTGGTCTCTGGTCTAAATGAAACGAACCTTTTGTTCAACAAGTCTTTGGGTCCTTTTGAGCATCTGAAATGGATGTTTTAGGGTATGTTGTTATAAACTATGGGTTACTCTTGACTGGATCCTTGGTAAGAATGTGCTCTTCAGAGGCTTGGCTGTGACCTAAGATGCACAGGGATGTTGTGTGGCCTTAGCTGAGCTGGGATGCAAACCAGATTAAACATGATCTGCCTTTGGGCTGACACTGATATAGGAAAGGGGCTGATTTTTCACAGGCCTCTGAATTGGTCAGAGTTTGATTGGGTCTGTGTTGAATGGGTTTTATCACTGCATTGGAGTAGGTGTTAGCAGGGCTTTGGGATGTGTTTTGGAGTGTCCTTAAATGAATCAAGGGACTTATTGAACTGAATTTATTTTTAAGGTTGACTTGGTTGGGTTTTGGATAGGGTATCAATGGGATGCTGAGTTCAAACAGCCTAGACTGTTTCTAGGCTGAAGTTGTGGCTGGTTTGGCCCATAAGATATCATCAAGACATCTTGCTCTAGCCTATGGTTCTGCCTCTGGGCTTAATTTTATTACTGTATCTTTGTTTTCCCTATCACCAAAAGTCAATACTCAGTTGATTCAGATTCTTAAGACACTTTACTGTTCCAGATGATAAATTGCTTCTGGGAACACTCAGTTCACTTTTTGCCTATGGTGGTCCCAGGGACTAGAGGGTTCTCCAAGAACCTGGAAAACATTGGACCTACCTGATTGACATAAAACTTTATGGAGAGTATCAGATTTTTCCATATTGTGGCAAATATTTCTTTTCTAGGGAAAAAATGCTTTTTACTCAAATATTTTTAGGGTAGTCTGGGTTACCTGGAGCCTTTTCTAAAACCTTTGTTAAGAATGCAGGCAAATGGTACTTAGTGCCCAGTGAGTTCTTGATAGATTATTAGGACAGTAAACTTTGTGTTTGACAACCAGGGAAAAGGGCTCAATCACATGTGTTTGAAAGTAGAGGGCAAGTAAGAGAGAGCGAGTTACTAAGAGGTTGATATTGTAGATAGGCAGGGTGTATTTAATAATTACTGTCTCAAGGAAGGAAGCTTAGTAAATTCAGGTAGAACAGTGATCAGAGTGCAGGACTAAAGCCTTGAGACAATCAGTCTAGTCAGACAAACTCTCCAATCTTTTGGAAGGCAAGGACCTTGAAATTCCTGGTACCTTTGAATATCTTGGGATTCCTCGTTGTGGCAAATAAAACATTTGAACATTTGCAAGTTACCACTTATCTTCTTGAAAGAGAGTTTTCTGCTTCCTGGTAACCCAGCACAGTCTAACATTCTTTGCACTACTTTACTGGAATGCTCCTTCATGACAGTGACACTTGTGCCAAATCACTGGAGTTTTCTTAGGGCTTATCTTCCTGACTTCCACAGCATGTGGCTCTGTTGACTATTTCTTACTGCAAAAAACCCTTCCCTGCCTAGGCTTCTGGGTTACAATTCGACTACTCCCACGTGCATGGTTAATTTTCTCCTGTACTTCTCCAACTCCAGAAACATTCATCTATAGGCTGAACATCACCATGTATATCGTTCTTTCACTGCCTTGAATTACAGAAGCAGAAGAGTCCCTTCCAAACCTCATGTATCTATCTCTATAGGCCATGGAAAGGCTGATCCACCTCTTACAGAACACTGGAGTCCTTGGACAGCATTAGGAACCAGGACACTCCAATCAAGTCAGAACACTGAGAATTACCTCAAGAGGACGGTAACATTTGGGTAGGAAGACCTTGACATTTAGATGTCTCTGAGTTGTAAAATCATTCTGGAAAATGCTGGCAGGAACCCATCAAGACTGTCCCCAAGCCCCCGTCTAGCCTGCAGTGACTGACCCACCTCTCCCATTTCTCTACAAGCACTAATTATGAGGCCACTACAGCCTAACAAACCAAGGCAAAAGCTGTTGCCAATTTATAACACCTGACAATGTCCCCCACTGAGTGAACATGCTAGGATCACAGAAGAGGCTTCATTTACCACTGTTATAGACTATGGACAACTTTGTCATATTTAAACCCTCCCTGCGAATAACCATATCTCTGTAGCTCAACTTTAAGCTCACTTCACGGGAATATTTGGAGGACACCTCCCTACAGTGAGTGAGGCTGGCGCAAAGCCTTCTAGGTAGAAGAGGCAGCCTGGAATGGATTTCCTTGGGCTGGAGGGAGAGAAGGGTAAAGTCATTTTAAGATCTAGAGATGGACTTCTTTCTAGAATCCTGGAAGAAAGGCAGAGATACTGGAATACTCAAGTATCCGAATTCCTCTCACTGCCTGTCTGCCCTGGAAAATACCACCTTTGTCCAGAGGTACCTCTTACTCTCTCTCCCCTTGCCCATGACTTTGTTTCCCACGGAATATCCTCTCTCCTCCCACCCCTGGAAGAACTATGCCCTCATCTATCTTGGATAATGGTGTCTCTAACTTTGAAGAGCTCTATCAGGACACCTCCTGCTTCCTTCCGGGGTAATTTCCTAAACTATTTTGCCTGTAAAGCTCTCAACACATTCCTCTGTCACCTAAACTCTAAACAACCTGAGACAGCCCTGGGGGCATGAGGGTGAGAGAAGACATTCTTAATACTTCCCAGATTCCTCCCGCCCCTCTACCCGCTTTCCACATTCAAGCCCTTTCCTATTCCTTGCCAATCCCATAAACACTCTCTCCATCACATTGTCATATCCCTTGTCTTCTCTCACCAGCTCCGGCCACTGTTTCCGCTTTCCCTTACCCATCTGATTTCTATAGATTTCCTCACTGTCTTTCAAGTCATCGAGCTGCAATGGGGTCAGCATGGGTTTTCAATCCTTTGAGGAGAAAGAAGATACGGAAGAGGAAGACTTGGATGGTTAGGGTGTTTTAATCTCCCTCCAATTATTTTTTCCTGAGAGCAATAATTCCCAAAGTATGGGCTTAATACATGTTACCTATGAAACAAGTTTCAGGTCAAGTAAGTCTGGGAAACACATTTCAGCAATTTTTTTTTTCCTACAGAAATTCTGAGGGCTTTAATATGATACTAGGCATATATTAATTATCTTTTGTTACATTTAAAATTGCCCCCAAACTTAGAGACTTAAAATACTAATAAAAATTAGCTTATTTCTGTGGGTCAGGAATCAGAGAATGACTTAGCTGGGTGGTTCTGGTTTGGGGTCTCTTGGGAGGTTGCAGTCAAGATGTCAGACAGGGCTGCAGTCAGCTGAAGGGCTTCACAGGAGCTCAGGGACCTATGTCCAAGATGGGTCACTCACAACATTGGCAAAGTGGTGTTGGCTTTCAGCAGGGATCTCAGTTCCTTACCACATGGACCCCTCCTTGGGGCTGCTTGCATGTTCTCACCATATGGCAGTGGGCTCTCCTACAGTGAGTGATCCAAGAGAGAAGAGAAAAACCACAACATCTCTCATGGCTTGTCCTCAGAAGCCACACACCATCTTATTAATTACTCACAGGTCAATCTCACCCAAGGTGGAAGGTATGTGAATTCCAGGAGGTGAGAAACACTGGGTTCATTTTGGAGGCAGGTCAGTGCTAGGCACGACAAATCTTCAAGACTGATTTGACAACATGATTATTGGTTAGTGGAGCATTCCAAGACACTAGGATTCCATGGTACACATGTTGGGGGAAACCACCATGGACTGTCACATTGAGGTGTAAGGGTCTGGGGGGCACACAAGTGGAGGGGAAGATGTGTGTGGAGGGGAAGATGTGTGTGGAGGGGAAGATGTGTGTGGAGGGGAAGATGTGTGTGTAGAGGAAGAATCCTGGGAAAACAGTATATGCATATGCACTGTGGGCTCCCAGAGTGGAAGACAATAGGAAGCTAGAACTGGGATACCACTCGGAACTGGGGCTCAGAGCTGATTCTCCAATTTACAGAGGCTAGCACAGAACTTCCCTGCCAATTACAAACTGCTTGGACCATCTCTACCCTTGTAAGCTGTTTACTTCCTTCATCCTAAATCAAACATAGAGAGAAAAAGTCAAAGTTGACAGGCTGAAAAGAAGAACTATTATCACAGAATCTCTAAAAGATGGAGATGGTGGCAATTTAGAAGGCTCAGCTGTTCCTTGCCGGGAGCAGCCCTGAGTACCACACTCTGTAGGACTGTTTGTGCTGCTTTCAGACCGGACCCCAACAGTCTCTTTTATGGTCCAGGCTAAGACCATGTAAGGTCACTCTGATGACTCAGACCACAAAGGCCCCGTTTTCCCCTACTCATCTGCACAATGGCTTGTTTGCAAAGGTCCTAGCCTGGGGAGTCGGAGTCACCGTGCTTGGAGAAAACAAGTTCTCATCCAATGTTTAGTGACCTTATCAAAAGATGCAGGATAGGAAAGGAAAAGAAGGGATAGAAGGACTGGCTAGAGAGAATGGAGAGGCGGTCATGGAAAAAGAAAGGGAAAGTGCGTGAGAAGAAGGAAGGAGTAAGAAAACATGCACAGCTCACATGAGAATGGTAAGGACAAGGAGATTTATACGCGAAGCCTGGAAGCGCCCCCGCCGCGCTCCCGCGGGTCCCACACGTGCTTTCGCCGCTTTTGTCCACAAGGTGGCAGCCTTTGAACTCGCTTCTCCGTAAGAACGAGAAAGGGGGGCAGAGAGGAAGGAGAGAAGGCAAAGCACTCCCCCCACCAAGAACAATTTGAAAACCCACCCCATCATATTTAAAATCTGGGACAAAGAACCGTCGGGACGGAACTCCTTCCATTGCAAAACCTCGGCGCGGCCTCGGGAGCGGCCCGGCGGCCCCGGCCCGAGACAGCCCTCCCCTTTCAAGAAGCGGAGGACAGGATTGGGATCCTTGAAACCCGAAACCCAGAAACAGCATCGGAGCGGAAACCAGAGGGAAAACCTTGAACTCCTCCAGACAATTGCTTCCGGGGAGTTGCGAGGGAGCGAGGGGGAATAAAGGACCCGCGAGGAGGGGCCCGCGGATGGCGCGTCCCTGAGGGTCGCGGCGAGTTCGCGGAGCGTGGGAAGGAGCGGACCCTGCTCTCCCCGGGCTGCGGGCCATGGCCACGGCGGAGCGGAGAGCCCTCGGCATCGGCTTCCAGTGGCTCTCTTTGGCCACTCTGGTGCTCATCTGCGCCGGGCAAGGGGGACGCCGGGAGGATGGGGGTCCAGCCTGCTACGGCGGATTTGACCTGTACTTCATTTTGGACAAGTAAGTGCCGCGAGTTGTCCCTACACCCCAGGCTAAGCGGGCGAGGACGCTTTCGCCCCTGGCCGGGCTCGTTGACAGGGTCGCCTGGGGACAGGCGCGCATCTCCAGGGGTGCAGAGGGACCGCGCGGCAGGCGGCGGCGGAGTGCTGCGCTTTTGTTGGGGTGCGCTCCTCCCAGCCTCGGCTCCAGAGCTCGCAGCCGAGGCGATGCCGCTTGCTGGGAAGGGGACAGACTTCTTTTCTGTCTTGCTTTCTGTGTCCCAGGAGCATGCAAGGGGCTTGGAGGCTGCTATTGTCTTGCTGAGTTTCTGTGACTCCCTCCCGTGTTGATGGGAAAGGCTTGCTTACCAAAGACAGAACTTGCAGGCACAGGCGCTCCTAAAGTTAGAGGCTTGGGCATTTTAAAGCCAACTGTCGCATTTTTTGTTTTGTTTTGTTTTGTTTTGAAATGCTGTCCCACGGAAGGCATTAACTTTGCTCCTAATCATATAATGCATACTTCCCCCTGGGCACTGAGTGAAATTGAAAGGCAGGGTTTCTTAACCTTGGCACTTCTGAGACTGAAGCCTGGTAATTATTTGTGGTGGGGGCTGTCCTGTGCGTTGTAGGATGTTTAGCAGCATCCTTGGCCTCTGCCCACTGGATGCCAGTAACATCCCCCGCCCCCAACTCCTTCTCTATTAGCGGTGACAACTAAAAATGCCTCCAGTCATTGCCAAATGTCCCTCCCCTTCGACTTGAGAACCCCAAATGTAGGTGAATTCAAGCTCTTGACCATTTGACTGGTGGGCTACCAGGGAGGTGCAGGAGCCCTGGTTTCCTTGCAAAAAAAAAAAAAAGGATAGTGATTAGGCTTTAGGATTTGCTCAAGGGAGAGCTGAATTCTGACCAATGAAGCACTTCCCAAATCCCCATAAGTCTGCCAAGCCACAGTTACCCAAGGAAGCTTCATACTATCTGCTGAAAACCAGCTTCAACGATAAAAAGCCCCTCACAGAAGATCTGTGCTCATTAAAACTGAGTGAGCTCTCCAGTGCCAGGAGAGGCGCTTTGCTGTTACAGTGGTAGGGAGATGGATTTCACAGACTGGAAAGTATTTAGGAGTTGGAAAAAGAGTCCTGCAAAATAAGCTGGCTAGCTGGACACCAAATGTGCTTTGCAGTTGCCCCTGGAGTTTGATTTTTCCGTAAAGGCTGTTTTGAACTCCAGATTCTTTGGATGAAAAGTGAGATTTCTTTTCTGCAGATTTATGAGAAGGTGGATACTGAAAATATGCTCCAGTGCTAAGGAATGGAATTTCTTTTGTTACTTCTAGTGGCTGGGAGGACCAGCTCACAGACTCAGAGACAGTGTCTGAAAACAGTCGGAGGTGCTCCTCCATCGTGCTTTTTTAAAAAGCCAATTCGAAGTGATATTCAGGAAAATCTGAAAAAAAAGAGTGGGGGACAGAATCCCCACGTCTCTGAATGGATAACTGTAGAGATACTAGAGAGAGATGGATACTGTAGAGATAACCAGTTTTCCCCAAATTAATTTAGAAATTGAATTCAACTTTTCAGTCAAAGTTCTGAAAGAGTTTGATGATAAGAATTTAACAAAATTGTTCTAGGCTTATCTTAGCAAAAAAAAAAAAAAAAAAAAAAACAGGTAGAAAGAGCTGAAACATTTTCGGAAAAGAATAATGAAGCCATACTCTCTCTCCAAATATTAAAATGTATTATAATGTAAATTAATAAAAACAGGATGGTAAAGGCCAAAGAATAGGTGGATAGAGTGGAAAATCTAAAAAGACAAATACATGTAGATCTAAGTACATGTAAACATTTAGTGGAATTTCAAGTCAGTATATAATGATTCATTAATTTTTTTTAAAAAATGGTTCCTGGAAAAGTGATTGATAACATGGAGAAAGAAAAAGGTTAGATTTATACTTTACAAATGACACGCAAAAATAAATTTCAGAAAGATTGAAAATCTAAATATTTAGAATGAAATGATCAAAGACCTAGAAGATAATTTAGATTAATATTACTGTAATCTTAGGTTTAGAGCTTTTAAAACATGACAAGGAAGAAACCATAAAGGAAAATAAAGAGAGATTTGAATATATTAAAAATTAAACTTCTATAAATGAAAAATAAGCCATGAAAAACATAAGAAGTTGCAATAACTATTGCCACATAAATCACTCTCTTAAGATTGATTTTCACATATAAAAAGCAATAAAAGCAAAATCCCAATAGGAAATAGCCTAAATGCATAATTCAAAGAGAAAAAAATATGAGTCAATAAATGAACCAAAAAGGTCATTATTAATCAAAGAAATGAAAAAAATATATAATTTTTGTTAGGTTGACAAAAACTTTTAAAAAATTACAATATTCAGTATTGGCCAATTTGTGGGAGGTAGGCAGTGTCCTATCTTACTAGGGAAAATGTAAATTGGTGCAGTCTTTCTGGACTTGCGCTGTCCAGTAGAATTTTCTAGGTTGATGGAAAAGTTCTATATCTATGCAGTTCAATACAGTAGCTACTAGCCACATGTGACTCGAGCACTTGAAATGTAGCTAGTGCGATTAAGGAATTTTTAATTTTATATAAGTTTAACTAATTTGAACTTTAATAGCCACATGTGGCTACCATACTGTATAGCAGACAAGAAGATAATTTGGCAACATGTATTAAATGCTTTTAAAAAATGAGGGGTCTACCTTTCCATCCAGCAATTTCATGTCCTAAAGAAAAAAATCCAAATGGTCACAAAGAAGTACCTACATGTATGTTTATGGAGGTGCTGTTTATAATACAAAGCTGAGGATTACATGTGTCTAACAGCAGGGGATTTACTAAGATATGATGTATGCATAGTATTGAACCTGCATTGCATGTTATACAAGCTTGTAAGCTATTTTAGGAGAAATATGTAATTCTTAATATACTATATACTTTTAGATGAAAATGCAATTACCAGACATCATCCGCGTTATGATTCCTCCTGTTTAAAAAGTTAAACACATACATGTGTATGTCTCTATTTACCAGTATGACAGTACTATTTGTCTCTAGCAGGTAGAATTTTAAATTTTGTTTACATGTTTTTCTTAATTTTTCTGTAATGAATATATATTACTTTTATATTCAACAAGAATAAGTTATTTTGAATTGGTTTAAAAAATCACATCAAGTTTAACCAGCATGCTGACTTCCAAGCCCCTTGCTATTATAAAGAATGCTGCTGCTTTTATGTTAATCCTGGAGTAAATGTCTAAGTGCACCACAGGATTCTTTGAAGCACCCTGGGGACCTAAAAATGCTCCAAGGAAAAGAAATGGTGGGGAGACCTTTACAGACATTCAGGTGGATTCCTCTGACTTCCTTTAGCTGTTCTATTGCTGGAAGAGAAGGATATTTTTGTGCTGAATGAAAAACTTGCTAGAACTTGGTGCGACAGTGCACACATCAACAGCTTACCATCTCGATCCAGGCTAGTTTATGAGATTGATGAGTCCAGAGCTGGGGGATGGGCCAAAAGGCAGTGGTGGCAAACAGACCTCTGGGTGGTCACCAAAGACATGATCTTCTGTCCTAGAAAGAACCTCCTCACACAGTGCTGTCCAGCACCCAACCACAGCCAGAGTGGAAAGTGAAAAAATGCTGACTCATTTTTCCTTGGGCTTCTTAGATCCTTTGGCTAGCAAGACACTGTCTACAGTCTGAAACCAAGGGGTCATGGGGACCTGAATCCACCATTCTTCTCCCAGTCCCTGCAACTCCTTTTCCCCTGCAACTGGTTCTCTTTTCCATGACATTAAATCTCAGCTCATTTCAGCTTTAAGCAAGCTGCGTCTCTGGCCTGGAGGGAACCCAGATTATACATTTAATGGAACGTCATGTTTTCTCAACCAGGAGCAAAGACTTCATAATGATAACCTAGAAAATACCACAGTAACACAATAGGGCATTATTAGTGGCTTTGGCGACTGGGCTGATGGACTGGGCTGCGCAAGGCTTTATACTGATGGAATTTCATGTTCACTTAAACATGCTTTTCTGGTTATAGTCAGGAAAAGTAGATTGCTGGGAATTCAATCAGGGATTTGAAAAGTTAGATTTGGAAGGCTCTGTTCAACAAAAAGCAAAGACGCAGCTAGCCTCTTTTAAGTCTTCCGGGGGATCTTCCAAGATGAATGCACCCATTTGACCAACCCACAGACATAACTGTACCTTCCCTCTCTCACAGCACCCCCCAACCCTCTGTTATTACATATATGTTTATGTATTACATATTGGCCTATTTTACATGGAGCTATTTAGTCACTTGAATGGAGAAAGTGGATTCTGCATCATGAATCTCAAGTGGCTGGCTATGTTATGTGTGCCCTGAAGACTTCAAAAATAGAATGTGGCGTGAACCCAGGAGGCGGAGCTTGCAGTGAGCTGAGATCCGGCCACTGCACTCCAGCCTGGGTGACAGAGCGAGACTCCGTCTCAAAAAAAAAAAAAAAAAGAATGTGGGAAAGAGAGCAGAAGTGGAGATAGTGGGCTGGAAGGCAGGAGTAAACACTGAGCAGCTTTATTTATAGGACTTTCCAAAGCCACTGCCTGTCATTCATTTTCTGCACCTAATAAATCCATATGTGTCTAAAGGCCCCCCACAGGCTCACCATGTGCTCCTTCCCCATAAGACCTCCGACTCCGCCTGCCACTTCCCTTCTCTTCGGCACCAATTTTCTCTTTCTTCCACTGTACAAAGGGACTCCGTGTTGCCACTCCCCCAGAGTTCCAACCACAGCACCCACAACTGGTTGATGCCCTGGTGGTGCTGATTTGCAAGACCACTATTATATGTTGTACTCCAGGGACAGGATCATCAGACAGATTTTTGTAGCATTAGACTGGAAACTTCACCACCAGGTATTGTATTGGCTTTTTTCTGGGAAAATGTCTTCTGAGTTCCCAACTACTAACTTACAAAAGAAATACTGGATTGGGAACTTGTAT